AATTATTAAGAACTTTTAAGCAACAAAGCTTTTTCCTTTTCATCGAAAATCTACAGCTAAGAAAGCTGCTTAGGATGAGTTTACTGTTTTATCAGATCCTAAATTATCTATATTTTTAGCCAATATAAGCAATTCGAATGGTTTAGAGACCTTTCCGCATTGCCGAGGGTGTCAGTGGAGTGATGGTCATTTTAAAGACTAACGGCTAACCCAAATGGCATCGAAAATAGGAGACGTTTTTTGCCTTGACTTTTTTTTAGTACTAACAGTTAAAATTTGTAAACTCTGACGCCTAAGGCTAATTTTTTGGCTAATTTTTTTGGTTAACCTCATCGAGACCCTAATAGCGGATGAACGCAACTTTGATAGATGCTACCCAAACAGCTCTTTAAAAAATACGCAATGTTTTCTCCTTGAAAACCTATGTTCATATTTCAATTTTCTTAAAAATTTATATGCTTGAGAGTAGCTCCTCTTCCTGATCCGAACGTATGTTATTCTTACAATAAAGCGAAAAATTTCCGCACAAGTCAATGCTAATGAAAATTGCCAAGAATGATCCCGTTAGTGAAAAAGTGTCTCATCTTTAGACAACATAGCCAGAAGATACTTGTGATTTGGACTTACGTACCTGAGGGAGTATCGCAGTATTTCTTTACTTTTCAAGATCGATAGAAAGACCTTTGAAAACGAAATGTTTGTTTAAATTTTAAATGCTGTAACGGTAAAGCAATATAACATGATACCGCATTTAAAACCTGTCTTAAAAATGCCACCATAATTATTACCTTAGACTATTTTGGCTGAAACCCAAGAGTAATATTCCTTTTGCCTGAAATTGAAAACAAGATATCCTTTTCACAATGTTAATAAGGAAACTTAGGTTTATTTTGCTTGCAAAATGGCTCAGAATTTGTTGCTCTTTCTATTCTTGCTAAATGTCTCAGAACTCGTTGCTTTTTCTATTCATAACAAAGCTATGAAAATGTTCTTTTTGACTGTAAGGAGGCCGGGAAAAGTATTTGTAACTATGTTATAACATAGAGACCGAACGTAAAGTGGGTTTTTTTGCGTCTTGATTGACAGCCAGATTATATCCCGTTCAGTCTCACTTCAATAACTTAGTCATTGAGCATTTTTTCTTTTTTTTTTCTTTTTTATTTCCTTATCTAGATAACTGCCGCCATTTTTCTTTATTCCTTACACTTTCACACAAGGAATTAGAAGTTTTTTTTCCAGCCTCGCTCGCATCATCGCGTGCGGCCCTGATGCAGGGTTTGTCTCGATGTTTTTGTTTGTTTGTTTGTTTCAGAAAGAGTGCGATGTAAACATGCCGTTATTTGTTTTTGATCAGAATCAACAGATTAAGATGAGTTATTATTCGAGTGGTTATGGATTGGTAGTTTTTATGAACCCGTCTATGCGCTGCGTTTTAGACGCGTTAGGCACTTGCTTTATACGTCTTCATTTTAAAATGTGACGCGGAATGTGACTACTCTTTAACATTGCTAGAGGCTAAAAACCACGGCTGATTAGAATTAGAGCATCTACGTGGACCACAAATCTTATGTAAGGTTAATAATGAAAGGGAAACTTATATAAGATAAATTGAAGTTAAAACTATTGTACTGTGCTTAAGTGGCTGAAATCATACCTGTCTTCACGTAAGCTGTTTGTTAAAGTTGGGAATAGTCATTCTTCACAACGTGCACTGAAGTGTGGTGTCCCTCAGGGATCAGTTCTGGGCCCTTTGTTGTATTTGTTATACACATCACCTATTGCGGACATAATAAATGATCATGGACTATCATACCATCTATATGCTGACGACACCCAATTATATATTACCTTTAAATCTACCAGCTTGAATGACATCCAACAAGTGAAGTTGAGAGTGGAATGCTGTGTGAGGGACATTGATGAATGGATGATAAGAAACTATCTTAAACTAAACCAGGACAAAACGGACCTTGTAGTCATCAGTTCCAGATACCATCCCATGCCTGACATCGGTCACATTACTGTTGGTTCTGAGTGCATTGCACCTCGTGACTCTGTTCGTAATTTAGGGGTTCAGTTTGATAGCATATTTAGTTTTGAGGAGCACATTAAGAACATTTGTAAATCATCATTCTATCATTTGAGAAATATTGCTAAAATCCGCAAGTACTTAAGCCAAGATACATGTAAAATCTTAGTCCATGCATTTATTAGTTCGAAAATTGATCACTGTAATTCCTTATTACATGGCCTTCCTAAGTATCTGTTAGCTAGACTACAGGCAGTTCAGAATGCTGCAGCTCGTGTTGTCACATTGACACCGAGGCATGTTCATATATCTCCTATTTTAATTAATCTTCATTGGTTACCAGTTGAGTTTAGAATAACTTTTAAAGTCCTTTTATTGGTATACAAGGCCCTTCATGGCCTTGCACCTTCCTATATTTCTGACCTTTTGAATTTTAAAACATACTCTAGGTCATTGCGTTCTTCATGTAAAGAATATTTAGTGGTTCCAAGAAGCAGATTGAAAACATATGGAGACAGAGCTTTCTCTATTGCAGGACCTAAATTGTGGAACGATTTACCTCTAGAGATTAGGAAATGTGCTTCAGTGGCAACTTTTAAGCAATCCCTTAAAACTTTTTTATTTAAGTTAGCATATAGGTTATGAGATTCGTTTTGTTTTGAGATGTTTTTGATTTATATAGTAGATAACTTAGGCTATATTTGAATTATATTGTATATTGTAGATATTTTATATTATATATTTTTATATTTTATATTGTAATTAGGTAGCGCTTTGGACAATTATTGGATTTTAGCGCTATATAAATAAAATTATTATTATTATTATTATTATTATTATTATTATTATAAGCGTGAAAGCAGTGGGAGAAGAATCGGGTAGCTCAGAAAGCGCTTCACCATCGTTTACGAGATAAACAAGTAAGAATTGTAAAGTTATTTTCCGAAAGAGTCGGAATAAATACATTTTTTTCAGGTTAGATTGCTGTTTTTACCCTAAACGTCGTCCAGTAATTTTTTTTGCAGCCTACTAATCTATGCAATTTCGAAGGAAAATATTCAGATGCTTCACCGTCCCCGAAGGGGGTTCTGTCCTGGT